TCAAAAAAGGGAACTATGGCCTTGCTCCCCAACATATATAGTCTTGTTCCCGTAGTTCCTACCCGTTTCCTCACCGATCCTCCATCTCTGTTGCTGCCAACATCCAAAATGAGGTACTGTCTACCCGCCGGTCAAGACTCACCTCTTCTAACCGTCGTTATTGCTGCTCTCCTTCCTTATCTAAATCAATTCACGTATCCGTCATTATGTCTGTCCAGATACAGTCACGTTTTCCCTTATGTTACCGGTGCCTGTGTACCCAAAAACCAGGTGCTATTCTTGTCACCTGGAAGCCCGGTATCCGCGAAACGATATCCGAATCCAAAAGTCGGCTAATATTCTCCTGCCTTAGCCTACGTCCGTCAAAAGGTCGTCCAAAACCAGCCGAAAATAACTAAATAAATAATAAAATACAAGGTACCCAATCCCGCTGGGACTTGGCCGTGTCAGGCACATACCCATCTTGTGTCTGCGACCCTTCAAAATTTCCCCTCCCTCTGCAGGCCGCGGTGTCCTTTACTCCCCAACTTGTTCGCTGTGGTCTCTCAGTGGTGATCGTACTTCCCTCCAGCCCCCCAGTCTGCCGACGTTCTCAAGGCTGACATTAAGGTTTGCAGTGCCTGGCCATGTTCTAGAAGGTACCCAACTTGAGTGGCTGATAGTTTGCAAGCATAATTGAACATGAAAGTCATTGACCACCTCTTGCCACACCACTCTGGAAACATGAAAAAGACAAAAATGTGGCGTGTGCATCTGACCATGTTCTAGCAGGAAGTTCATTCTCATTTTGCACTTTTTGAGAGTGGTGCGGCGATGCCCCACATGACAGAGTTGCTTCTCACGTCCAGTTGTTGCCCACTCACAGGAGGTACAACGATCGAAAGAAGCATGGCCGCCAAAGTCGACAAACGCGCCCTCACCCTCACCTTTAACTGCAAAAAACAAAGAAAAGAAAAGAAAAATTAGAGGGAACCAGTAGCACAGGACCACAGGTCCATGACGGCTACCGGTAGTACTGTGGGGGGAACTGGCGGAGTGGCAAAATTCAAAAATGCATTGAATTACCCCCGCGATTTATTTCGCAGTTTAAATTATTTTATTTTTTTTATATATTTCTCTTGTAAAGATCACGACCAAATCTATAGACCCTCGAATTTTCAGAGTTTTTGGTCATCCTTTTGATTGCAAAAAATCGCAAAAGTTGGGTTTTTGTTCCCATTGGCCCATACGTGGTAGAGTAGCAAAATTTGAAAATGTGACGAAACGGCGCAGTATTTACTTCACTGTTTATCTTATTTTTTTCTATTTTTTTGATATTTTCCCTGGAAAGATCACGGCCTAATCTACAATTTATCACATTTTCAGATTTTTTTGCCAATTTGTCTGAGCGCGAAAAATCGTCAAAGTTCGCGCTTGAAAATGTTCGGCCCGGACCCGCCTGCTCCTGCCGGTGGCCGCCCCCTCTAAGAACCCAGTTCGTAAGGCCAGGAAAGTTCATTTCAGGCCGACGAACTCTTAGTGTTGCACTATTAGATAGTTGCTCCTCTAGGATCAGCCTCACAGCCCCCTATCCCAGGACGACTTCTCCACACCAGCCGTGCATCCTCCTTCCCTAGGTCACCTCGTTCCCCTGTCTATGCCCGAAGAATCTTTGTTGTGTCGTCGATCCACTGCATCTTTCACTGATTTATGTCTAAATTATTTGTAGTTACTCACTTTTTCTGGCCTGATTCGCCAATGTGTCGGTTCGCTGCACTTGTACGAAGTCCTGACTCTTTTCGTCATCCCGCCAGCCGATGTTCGAAGCGGTTACAGTCAGTATAGCGACCGGTTCCGCCATTGGGTTGTCAGCTTCGTGAATATCCGGAATGTCTGACAGTCGTGTCTTGGTGCCTGATCCCTTGTCCCAATGTAGGCTCTACCTCACAGCCCACTATCCCAGGAAACATGCATCCTCGTGTCCTTGAATATGCACCGAATAAACAGTTCAGTTCGTCATTTCTTTCTTTCACCCATTCCCGTTTTAAATTATTTGTAGAGACTCACTTTTTGTAATGTAGCGGTTTGCTGCACTCTGTGCGGAGTCCAGACTCTTTTTTCAGTCGAGAAGCGGTTATAGTCAGTATAGCGACCGGTTCCAACCGTTGGGTCTGTGATGTCTGCTCCGTGAATCACTGAAATCAGTGACAGTCGTGCCTCAGGGCCTGGTCTCCTGTCCGAATGTAGGGAGTGTCTGACTCAAGCAGTAGTTCTCTTCCTTTTTCTTTTTCTTATTGCTGCACCCTCACAATATAGCCAGTGCAACAGCTTCACGACTGTTTTTTTTCTTCATTTTTGTCCTTCGAATTGCACCCACTGCCCGCCTTAATACTTTTATTGGATACCCCAACTGTATAGCTTCAATAAAAAACCACTTGACCACCTCTACCGCCTCAGTCTGGCTAGTAGAGATGGTGAGGATATGATGCAGAGTTCCAAGAATCGAGATTTCCTTCGTTTTTAATGGACCGAAACTCTTAAAGTGTTTAATCGTATGAAAGCGACCAAAAAACCCCTCTCGGAGTGTTTCCTGATTTTTCAAACGATGTAAACACTTCAAGAGGGGTCCTTTTTTTTGCTTAATAATGTGAGTCTCGAGATAACGCAGCTTAGCATCTGTAACTTGTGAGGTTGCTTCAAGTGAGAGTGAGTTGTGGTAGCACGTGATGAATAGTTGCAGGCATTTCCTAGCGGTCTGGTAGTCCTGATTGCTACAGATGGCTGAAATAAAAACATCATCCACAAACCGGAGTCTTGTGATGTATCTCTCGTCACTCCCAAGGGATTGCATCCAGTATACTTCGTCGAAGTTACAAACGAGATTGGCAATGGGAGGGCTTGATCCCTTTCCCATTGGTATGCCCAGCGTCTGTCTGACAAGTCTTCCCTCGAAAAGGAAATAAGCATGAGAAATATCAAACATTAACATTTTGGGAAGATCAACAATCTTTACCGTTTTCCATCTCCATGTTCCGTTTGCTTTCTCGATGTTTATTTTCTTTCCTTGTATTTTAATCCTTAGGTGTGTGTGATTCATTTTTAGGTGTTCACAGACCAGCCAGTCCATTGCTTTGATGATGTGAGCATGGTCCAGACAAGTGAACATATCCTTAACGTCAAAGGTAGCACATAATACGTCCGCGTGCTCTTTGAACAGATCCCTCACTTCTCTGCTGATTGCGTCAATTTTTTCAACCAGAACATTAGTCTCGTTTATGCCGAATCTTTGCTGCAATATCTTCGTCAAGAAGTTCACACATCTAGAGAAAAATTTTGATGCTTGAAGAGATGGTTCCTGAAAAGTACGCACGATAGGTCATCTTTTAAGAACGTCGTTGTCCTTTGGCATCACGTATGCATGGCCATACGTACCTCTTTTGTTCCACTGTGCGAACTTCGTCAGGCACATTTCCTTGTATTCCATCTAGTTCTTATCCGACACATCTTGTACGGTAGAGTCAACCAACTGATAATTTGGTGCCCCTAGGAACATACGGTGCATCCTGTCCCAGAAAACCTGAGGGCATTCAACATACGTTTCCCCAGGGTTCCGATCGAGTGGAGCACGTATAAATGCATTCAATCTTTTCTTTCATTCGAGTACCTTCTGCATAGATAACCCTTCTCCTGGTAGTGCAAACTGTCTCACACAACCGTCCTAACTGTCAAGATGGCTGATGTGTGAGCAATATCTCTGTGACAAGGAGTTGATTGTCGTGATAATGGTTGTAGTCAGCACCTGCGTACAATCCTCCATCTCGTGTATTGGTACGTTCTTTGCGTTACAGATCAGCCTGTCCATAGTGACTTCTGACAACCGACAGGAGACATGTGAGTCTACTTTCGGAAATTAAGAGTTATCACATGGACATTCTGGTCTGTCCTCGATCATTCTTCGGTGGTTGTGCAAAATTTCACCAACAGTTTTTAGCTTTCCAAACATGACTCGTGATCTCTTCTCAGTGATTAGTGCCAATGCATGATGTGATACATTGCTCAGAATCAATCTGCAGAATAGCTTCCTTACCTGATTCAAGTTAACATGCGGTGAGTAAGGTAAGCGAAGAATCACGCTTCTCCTGATGTTTATTTGATATTTTTTTACCGCAACTCTCGTCAAGCAACCTCTCAATATGCCACGACTCTTTTTGGATGGTATGAGTCTCATGCCCGAGTACATCCCAATAATTTTTTTAAGTGTATACCCGTAGATTTTTGATCTTGTCCACGGTGCTCTCAGTTTGGATTTCATGTGAATGGAGTTGGAAACATTCTGAATACATCAGGAAACAAATGCATGGCATCCTTCTTCAAATGCAGATCTGCAGTCTCTTATTAGGTGCTTTGTTCCATCAATAATGACGACAGAATCCCCGAATCTTATTTTCACAACTTTCCATCCTTCAACCCATAAGTTGGCCTTGAATGACTCAATGGCCGCCTTGGGTTTAATGATATCTGAAAGTTGCGTGGTGATCTTATCCTGACATAGGAACATTGCTGGTATGTTCTGACTGATAGAAGGTTGAATTCTGTTTGTTCTCTGACGGCGTCTTTTCTTGTGTTTCCGTCTTCTTGATCTGCCTTGTCTGTGTTGCGTGTTCAAGAACGGATTCTACTTTTGAATCAGTTTTTTTTCAACCTTCTTTACATTCTCCGCGTCTCCTACCCAGATGGGGATGCATGTATATTTGTGCACTCCGAACTTAGCAATTCACGAATACAGTTTTGTGTGTTGCTTTCGTTCGTGTCGAAGCACGACCATAGCGTGTTCCTTCCATCTTCTGTCAATGCCCCTTTCCGTCTTTCCCACATACATGTGTTGACTCCAAGGTGAAATCCAGACATAAACACACACTTTCTCCGTCAGTAGTCCTCTCCAGTCTAGGTTATGTGAGATGATAAGTGAGTGCACCCTCTTCGCCCATCTAATCTCCCCTTCACTCATAAGTGACAGCGTGGCAAGTCTAAATGCTTTATTGACTATAGTGCAGCCCTTCCAATTTCGATCTTTCATAAGTCCTTCAAGTGCACTTCTACACTGCGTGATGAGGCTCCATATTGCAGTTGGAGGTAGGCTTGAGCAGTAAGTGCGTGGTTGCTAGTGCGAGCTAGGTTGTACGTCCCTAGATGCCATCGACTCTTCGGAGAGTTCCACATCAACCTCCTCGGAGGAGCTTGCCTCCTCTCGGAGGAGCTTGCCTCCTCGGTAGGCTTGAGCAGTAAGTGCGTGGTTGTCAGTCCGCTCATCCGGATTTTTTCCCTGTGCTTCAGCGCCGGTCTCCGTCTTATCTAGCAGGTCTTCCGTATCCGAGATGATCAGCCCTGGAATCTTTCGAAGTGCCACCTTTGCTTGAGGCATGCCTCTGTACCGAACTTTATGCATCGCGCACAGTTGTTTGAGATCTTCCATCTGGAGAGCACTCAGCATGTCTTCGGAGAGTTGTTTCCCTTGCAGAATCCTTCGTCGGGCCGAGGATCGCCGTGCGCTCTTTTGCGGATCTTTTGCTTGCTGTGTTTTCCTCTTAATTCTACTTGGTTCTCCTCCGCTTGCTTTCGGAGTGCTCTTCTTCGCCGGAGTATTTCCATTCTCGTTGCGAAGTTGTCGCGGTGATATGAACTGCCGCACCACCGGAAATTTCAGCTTAGAGATCGATCCCTTGAGGGACGCGATCTCATACTTCAGACTCCGCATGTCCTCAAGGTGCTTCTTGAGGGTGACCATTTCAGCAGCCATCTTCGTGAGCTCGCCGTCTCGCATCTTCCCCTTACTCGCCTGCTGAGAACTCCCTTCGCCAGTCTTCTTAGGCTCCTGGATGGCAGCTTCAACCGCAAGCTTAAGCTTTTCAGTGGTGACTTTCTTCGATCAACGCTCGGCCTCGATGTTGAATTGATCCGCGAGCTTATCAACTTTCTTGTGGAGCCTATCTAACTCGCGACGGAGTGAGTAAAGTTCGTCACGAAGTTCCACGGTAAACCAGGCCCTATTGCCCGAGGCTGGTTTGTTGTACGGGAACTCATACCACCTTTCCTCTCGTTCGCATGAAAGGCTGAGCTGTCTTCTCCGGCTTGACGATATTGATGCAGATTTGGATCGATGTCTGTCTCGCCTTCTTTTATCCTCGTGTGATCGATCTCTTGATCGGTCCGATCTCCTCGCTGGTGACCTTCCCCTCCGTATGTCATCTTTCTCCCTCCTCCAGTCTGGTGACCTGGATCTCGTCCTGGATCGTGATCGTCCCATTCGTGGTTGCAGGCTTACACCTTGTGATGTCAAGTACGCACTCCTTGATTACGTAGCTTCGCTCCACAGATCGACTCCTAATGTTACATATAACCGCAATCGCATGAGAATAAGCTCAGTTGTACTCCCGAAATTTGGATCAAAGCATGATCAAATTGCCAGATCAGCACACGACAGTCTACGATCGAACGCGAAACGTACAAATGTTCTAATCGTGCCAAACAACAGGTGTAGAATTTACACCTGCCTCGCCTAACTGCTGAGGTCATGCGTGTACCCCAAGATAAGTTTAGATCACAATATGTCACTAATGCGCTACGCCCCAATCATCTTAAGCAATTCGCTAAAACCACAATCATGTCACCGCCTCTGTTCCAATCATCCAGTCGAACTTCTTGTACACTAGTACGTACAGTCTTCGATGTCCCAAATTCAAGAAAAAACGTTAATCATCCAGTGGATCTTCGTGCGCACTGGTAGATAAAATATTCGACATCCGAAAATCAAGTTAAAACGCCAGCTCGATAACTTGGGAACAACGATGTAATCGAGAAACCGAGAAACCGATCTCCTCCGACAAGACAAGCAAGGTAATGTCCGCTCCGCCTGGATGGCGTCATACGTAGCGCGTACCTGTACCTGCACAAACAAAAAAGCAAAATGCGATCCTTTCCATCGACGGATCGATAGAAGGTTCACCCACCGAACAACGCGGGTATAATCTCTCGTATGATTGAGGTGGGCTGCGTGAAAAGTCGTTCAAATCAAGTAGCACAAAATGTGAGGCTTTACTCTCGCGGATGACATTATGTGTTGAACAAAGAAAGTACTGGCATGTAAACACACCAGCATCGCCCTTCTGCCTCATCCACTCAGGCGATGAACTCTTAGTATTGCACTGTTATATAGTTGCTCCTCTAGGCTCAGCCTCACAACCCCCTATCCAAGGACGACTTCTCCACACCAGTCGTGCATCCTCCTCGTTTCCCTGTCTATGCTCAAAGAATCTTTGTTGTGCCATCAATCCACTGCATCTTTCACGGATTTCTGTCTAAATTATTTGTAGTTACTCACTTTTTCTGGCCTGATTCGCCAATGTGTCGATTCGCTGCACTTGTACGGAGTCTTGACTCTTTTCATCATCCCGCCAGCCGATGTTCGAAGCGGTTACAGTCAGTATAGCGACCGGTTCCACCGTTGGGTTGTTAGCACCGTGAATCCCCAGAATGTGTGACAGTCGTGTCTTGGTGCCTGATCCCTTGTCCCAATGTAGGCTCTACCTCACAACCCACTATCCCAGGAAACATGCATCCTCGTGTTCTTGAATATGCACCGAATAAACAGTTCAGTTCGTCATTTCTTTCTTTCACTAATTCCTATTTTAAATTATTTGTAGAGACTCACTATTTCCAATGTAGCGGTTTGCTGCACTCTGTACGGAGTCCCGACTCTTTTTTCAGCCGAGAAGCAGTTATAGTAAGTATAGCGACCAGTTCCAACCGTTGGGTCCGTGATGTCTGCTCTGTGAATCACTGAAATCAGTGACAGTCGTGCCTCAGGGCCTGGTCTCCTATCCCAATGTAGGGAGTACCTGACTCGAGAAGTAGTTCTCTTCCTTTTTCTTTTTCTTATTGCCACACCCTCACAATATAGCCAGTGCAACAGCTTCGCGCCTGTTTTTTTTCTTCATTTTTGTCCTTCGAATTGCATCCACTGGCCGCCTTAATGCTTCTATTGGATACCCCAACTGTGTAGCTTCAATAAAAAACCACTTGACCACCTCTACCGCCTCAGTCTGGCTAGTAGAGTTGGTGAGGATACGATACAGAGTTCCAAGAATCGAGATTTCCTTCGTTTTTAATGGACCGAAACTCTTAAAGCGTTTGATCGTATGAAAGCGACCAAAAAGAAAGATGCCGCCAAATACAGAGATGAAAAAAAAAAAGAAATACAGAGATGAAAAACGAAAAGAAGGGAAAAATAAAACAGAAACAAAACAATGAAATGGAAAAAAAAAAGAAAACCGACCGAAAAAAAAAAAGAAAAAAAAAAGACGGGCCACAAACCGACACTTTCTTGCTATCGACGGCAGGCGCTTCGAGATATTCGCTCGGATCGACGCCCACCGCCACCTGGCCCCATGAGCGTGCACTCTCGTTTCATGGCGCGCTGTGAACATTTCGGTACGCGCGCCCCTCTGCACACTCCCCCACCCTGGATCGCGTTCATCCACCGCCCGTCATCAAAACTTCAACCTGAATCCGGCGCGCGGCGGAGCATCGGCCTCCCTCGTGGCCAATGCTGCTTAAGGGTTAGGATAGGTAACGCAATAGTCTATTGGCCCACACCTTAGCCACAATCTTATTGGGACCGGGAGGAGGGTGATTGGTCGATAATTTCAGATCTCTTCTTTACCCCTTTTTTATAGATGACAGTGGTTACCCCCTAACCCATCATATCTCCAAAGGTCTCTTCTCGAAATACCTTTTTTTTTTTTTTTTTTTTTGAACCCTCGTCTCGTCAATGTTAGTGGTGCTGATAAGAGCAGACACCACTAGCAACGGGGGGGGGCGCTCCATCTATTGGTGGGGAGCGTCACCTGCTAGAAAGCGGGTCCAGTGTCCCTTATACGGACTGAAAATTGAAGTACACCATATCATGGTTTTAGATTGTCCTGCCAGCATTGATTACCCTGAAGTCCAGGGGATTGACTGCGCAGGATGTGGGAGAGAAGGGAGGGGAACCTCTTCACCCTACTCGGGTGCCAGATACATCGCTACTCACTAGTTTCTCCCTTCTTCTGGGCCATATTGAGCCAAACTTGTTTGAAAAAGGGGTCCAGCGTCCCATTGCCTGCCTGGGAGGGGCCACTGGGGGGCACCGGTGGATCCTCCTGGGCTTATAAATTCTGCTTGTGTAAGTATACAGTTGGCTGTTGTGTATGGGTGATTGAGCTAAGGGTTGTATTAATCAGGAGAGAATCTGTGCCAAGGAAAGAGCATGAGTGGGGAACGGGTCCGGAAAGTCTGAGGGAGGGCGTAGTGGGAACATGGGCTCTATGTTAGTCCAATCTTTAAAAATAAGACGGTAGTCGTTCATCTCTCCCAAATCCCTCCATCCCTCTCCCCTATCTCCACTCCATTCTACTTTTGCAATCCATCCCTCTTTCTCCCCTCCTATCTAATCTGAGCAAAAGGCTGAAATCCATCTCCTGACATCTCCAGTTTGCCCAAAGAGGTCTAGCTGTGCTTTTGTGTCTAACCATCTTTGTGTGCGTTCAGCTTGCACCTGCTGTTGGATCTGTTCTATGATTTTTGGCCCTTCTACTCTCACCTTTTCCATGGCTAGGGTGCATCTCTGCCACCAAAGTGCCCATAACACTGCTCTCCTTCCAAGTTTTTATATATTTTCTATGAAAGTCGTGGCTGCTTCTAGCAGCAGCCAATGACCAACCAATATGGCTTGCCAGAACCATGGCCAAGGGGTTTCCACTTCCATTTTCCTTCATATGCGGTCCCACCATCTCCATGTGAATTGGGCGATCGGACATTGCATGAATATGTGTTCAATGGTCTCTGCCTTTTTGTGGAAGGGGAAAAGACTCAGACACCTCTGACACCATGAGAGTAGCAGACCTCTTTGTTCCAAATTAGTGCGATCAGCCAGCCAGTCGTTGGTTGGCAGGCAGCGATGGGCAATTTGCCACTGCAGGGAGGTGATCTTCATGGGTTTAGATTTTTGTTCCTTAAACCATCGGATTGGTGTCAGAAGAGAGCGTTCCACAGTTAAGTGTTTGGCCCACCGGTCGGTAATCGTGTCTCTCAAACACCTTTTTGGTCTGAGCATTTTATAGGCTGATTTAACCGACAACTGGTGTAGACTGATGTGACCCGGAACGCCCTTCCTTTGCGGGAGTTTCCAAGTCCATTCTGCTGGGTCCAGTGTCAGGTCCTGAATTGGTTTGGAAGGCTAAAACGCCAACTTCTGCCCCTTCTCTTCTATCACTCTCACACGGTACGCGGATGATCTCTCTTAATTAAAAAATAAATAAATAAATAAATAAATTACGCGGATGATCTCTCTTTCCATTCGAAGGGGGCTCTGTTTCCTTAAGGGTGCCTGCTCTGGTGATGGCGTAATATTTGACCAAGACCGTTTGGGGTGAGACCACGTGTACCTGGCCCACTCTTAGTGGGATCTACGCACTTGCAATACCGCATTCACATAGCGACAAAAGTCCATCCTGAATATGTCCCAGAATCAAAGCGAAAATTATTTCGGGAATGAGTCGAGTCTCGTTTTTTTCATCGTTCATATCTTGGAGGGATTGGAGCATGTCCTCTTCTATGATAGGCGCCTCCATTCTCTCCCTGGCTTGTGTGGTCAATATGGATGGGAGGGCATTGAGAAGAGTATCTATGGCCTCTTGCAAAGTGTCGGGCGGTCTATGGTTGGCTTTGGATGTGAAGAGTCTTTGATAGTATGCAAAGGCGTATTCTGCTATTTTGTAAGCATTGTCAGCGATTGGTTGGGTGTCATCAAAGGGATGTCTGAGGGATGATACCGTACTTTGTCTTCCTCTGGCCTTTGCTTTCCGGAAGAAAGTCCTTGCCATCATGCCGTTGGTATCGTTTTTAGAGATCCTTGCCTGTATTCTCCATTTTTGTGCCTGATCATCGTGGTATTCTTGCAGCCGGTCTCATGCCCCTTGGAGGACATTGAATGTGTCAGTATCCATGGGGTTGTCCATAAGGTGACTGTCCCGTCCCTCCAACTCGGCTAGATGGCGGTGGGAGGGTCTCCATACCAGGCTGGCCTCCGCCGACTTCTGAGTAGTCCAATAGGCCCAAAATTCTCTGACCAAGGTTTGAAAAGAGGTGACTTTCATAAGATTGGTATTGAGCTTGAAGAATCCTGGTCCCTTTGCAATGCGAGTATGGAAAGACCCATTAGAATCATGCGGTGATCAAAGGATTTACATGGGGAGATGGTGCAGATTTCTGCTACGGTGAGTAGACCTGATATCTCATCAGATATGATACCCAAATCAATTCCGGAGTTCGCTATGCCGTGCGTTCCTCTAGATCTAACACACACATAGACTTTTTGGGTAGGGTGCAGTTGTGTACGAATCTGTGAGAGTGAGGTCCGCCAGCATGTGACCCAGGGCCCTTACATCGGGGCCAACCTGTGTCAGATTTTGCTATGCATCTTGGGAGGGTGATGTCCTGTTGATGCTTGGATCCGGGGTCGTGCTATAGTCTCCCATCATTATTATGGGGGCGTCTCGGGGGAGCAGGTGTTGTAACTGTGTGAAGAAGGTGGCCCTCTGAGTCGTGTCGTTGGGTGCATGTAAACTTACCAAGTATAGCATTTTGTCCCTAATGTGGCTCTCAGCCACACCCACCTACCCTCCTGTCTGTCCCATCCAGCACATAGGATGGAGCCATAATGCTACTCCCGTTGATCCAACCGCTCTGGTTGGGGCTGCATACGTGGTGTAGGAACAGACTTAGGCTGCCCTAGCCTGGTGTGTTGGCGAGTCTGTAAGGTGGGTCGGTTGGACCGCTATGACGCCCGACCACTTCCCCCTAGAGTCCTGTAGTATCTGATCCCATACTGCCTTATGTTTCTGTTCATTTGGCTGTGCCAGTCCATTGACATTGATTGATCTAATTTCAAGGTCCGTAGCCTTTATTGTTTTTGTCCATTGGGGGGATTTTCTGGCCGGCGGGGCCGGGCGGGGCTGGCTGGGGCAAGCGTAGGGTGTTGGGGACTGCCCTCCCCCTGATCTCTTTGAGACTACTTCTTCTCTGATCCTCCGACATCGGCGATCAGGCAGCTCATCTGCTGGTTATCGTCATTAATTTACGTGCCTTTGCTTTCAGTCGATCCCTGAGACTCCCTATTGAAGGTATCTGATAACCGGTGGGTCGTCCCACAATTGGTGTTCCTCCAGAGCCGCCTGCTCAAGGAGGATCCTAATAAAGAGGGTCTACTCCTCTGCCGACAAGGTGTTGTTTGATTTCAGCTTGGTTGTTGACATGTTCAACATTTAGTTTCATGTCATCCATTGCAAGTGATTGTCCCCTTGCAGGGACTGCGTCCCCTGGGGCAAGAGGAGGAGGATGGGGGTGACACCTTGTGGGAACTGTAGATCCCATGGGAATACCGTGCCTATTGC